GGACCAAACTTCTGGAATAAAAGGGAATCGCGACATGTCACACATGTCATGTGTCCTTAAGGGGTTAAGAGGACATACGTTCTATTTGCTCATTTATTTTTCGGGGTTACTTCGCACTCAGAGGACATATCTAAAAATGATATTTTTTGCAGTATTCCAATGTATTCCAATTCCTTTTTCAGAGCTGCCTGCTTGTATAATTTAAAGTGGCTTCTAGGATGAATATCTTTTTCAATCCCTAAGAAGTGATATGTAGGAAAATTATGTGTTTATAACTTTAAGATTTTGCAGAGATTGTCAAAACTTTTTAACAAATTTAAATATTGCAACTTCTGAAACGGATATTGATTCTTCTGCACAAATTATCCAGAACATTTCAGGATCACACGAGCAGGGATGCAATATGATTACTAAATGTATATCTCAACATAATTTCTTCAACTAAATGTCAAATAAAATTAAAGCAGCCACGGGTATAATGATATCTCCCTTTTGTATTGGTCCTGGACAACCATCAAATCATTATTTTTTCTGTATTTGTTTTTTTCTGCAAATTATTTTGTATTGAAAGCATTGCTGCCCCTTTAAATAGTGATAATATTTTTTCAAAATGAATATATTGCTCTCTAAACACAAAGAATTATCAGCGAAGCCGTGTCTCCTTCTCAGAGTTTGACCTGTTCTTCTTGAACAGTGAACCGAATTTCATGGTGTGCTGACAAAACCACTTTTTAAATTAGTGAAGATCAAAAATGTTTCTGTGTTTAGCTGGTCGCCAATTTTCTCGACTATTGTCAATCACATTAATCCCGAAGAAGAAAAAAAGTGTTCGCTACAATTTACGCACACTTAAATTGCGATATATGAAGAGCATCAAGTAACTCAGGTGCATTTTATTTCATCCATGCAACTAACTCTATTGATAATTATGTCCTATTTTTGCTGTGTTGAGCAATGTTTTAAGAACGTTGTTTGTCCGACGTTATCCACATTTCCCAGGGAGCAAAAACCATCAGGTACGTCTTTGACCTTTGAGAATATGTGATGTGTGAATCAAAGCAAACAAAAAACACCTGCTGGGATTTTATTACTATTTTTTTTTTGTAGCCTGTTGGAAGACTGTCGAGAAACAACTGTGTCCAGCCGCAGCAAGATTACTGTATTTGTTTGAACATAAGGCTAGGTTTATCCAGGAAAATGCAGTTAACATACAACCTTGCTTTATATGTGAGATCTTCTTTCAGTCAGATTTCCTTTTCCCACCCAGGAGAAGGTGGTCTCTTTAAATGTCCTAGATATAACTGGTATGTTTTTTGCACCATACTTCCAGTTTTATGGGTGCTCTCAACTTTGCATTTTGCAAAACTCAAGGGGATCATTCGGCATTCCAACTGCTATCCACAAACAAATGCAATAAACAGTACAATATACAGTTGCAAGAAAAAGTATGTGAACCCTTTGGAATGATATGGATTTCTGCACAAATTGGTCATAAAATGTGATCTGATCATCATATAAGTCACAACAATAGACAATCACAGTCTGCTTAAACTAATAACACAAAGAATGAAATGTTGCCTTGTTTTTAGTGAACACACCATGTAAACATTCACAGTGCAGGTGGAAAAAGTATGTGAACCCCTAGATTCATGACATCTCCAAGAGCTAATTGGAGTGAGATGTCAGCCAACTGGAGTCCAATCAATGAGATGAGATTGGAGGTGTTGGTTACAGCTGCCCTATAAAAAACACACACCAGTTCTGGGTTTGCTTTTCACAAGAAGCATTGCCTGATGGGAATGATGCCTTGCACAAAAGAGCTCTCAGAGGACCTACGATTAAGAATTGTTGACTTGCATAAAGCTGGAAAGGGTTATAAAAGTATCACCAAAAGACTTACAAAAGTCACTGGCAAATGCTATCATCCCTGTTAGCGAATCTACAATACGTAAAACACTAAACAAGAATGTATTTCATGGGAGGATACCACAGAGGAAGCCACTGCTGTCCAAACAAAACATTGCTGCGTTTATGGTTTACACAAGAGCACCTGGATGTTCCACAGCAGTACTGGCAAAATATTCTGTGGACAGATGAAACCAAAGTTGAGTTGTTTGGAAGAAACACACAACAATATGTGTGGTGAAAAAAGGCACAGCACAGCAACATCAAAACCTCATCCCAACTGTGAAGTATGGTGGTGGGGGCATCATGGTTTGGGGCTGCTTTGCTGCATCAGGGCCTGGACAGATTGCTATCATCGAAGGAAAAATGAATTCCCAAGTTTATCAGGAGAACTTAAGGCCATCTGTCTACCAGCTGAAGCTCAACAGAAGATGGGTGTTGCAACAGGACAATGACCCAAAGCATAGAAGTAAATCAACAACAGAATGGCTTAAACAGAAGAAAATACGCCTTCTGAAGTGGCCCAGTCAGAGTCCTCACCTCAACCCGATTGAGATGCTGTGGCATGACCTCAAGAAAGCGATTCACACCAGACATCCCAAGAATATTGCTGAACTGAAATAGTTGTGTAAAGAGGAATGGTCAAAAATTACTCCTGACCGTTGTGCACGTCTGATCTGCAACTACAGGAAACATTTGGTTGAAGTTATTGCTGCCAAAGGAGGTTCAACCAGTTATTAAATCCAAGGGTTCACATACTTTTTCCACCTGCACTGTGAATGTTTACATGGTGTGTTCAATAAAAACATGGCAACATTTCATTCTTTGTGTGTTATTAGTTTAAGCAGACTGTGATTGTCTATTGTTGTGACTTAGATGATGATCAGATCACATTTTATGACCAATTTGTGCAGAAATCCATATCATTCCAAAGGGTTGACATACTTTTTCTTGCAACTGTATGCACAAATACATTGTTGCTCCGCACTGCAGCAACATTGAAGTGGCTGAAAAATCCCAGCCAATCATTGGTCACCTGTAAAAACTATAAGTAGTGCTAGCCTTTAACACTTGACTTCCAAATGATTTCTTGGCTCCTCATTAAGGTGCTGGGCATGCCACTGCATTCAGTTCTCAACTTCCTTTTCGTAACACAATGTTGGCATCTGCATTAATCATGGGCATTAAAGGAATACTCCAAGGACTGTGCTGCAGTGGCTATGGTTCTGCGAGTGTCTTGGCATCCCCAATGTAAGGAGTCAAACAGTTTAGTAATGGTTTGACCTTTTTTTCTAGGGTTTGCAGGACATTACCCCACACTAGACTTGGTAATTTTGTTCCAAACAGAAATTTCGTCCTAATTTTGGCCGATCGTTTATTGTTTGAATTCACAAATTCCAAGCCAAAATGCATCCAAATCACAAACCAGACTAAATGGGCAATGGGCGAACATGTTAGTTTTCATTCGTCATTCTGAATTCTTCCCATGGCACCAAAAAAATACATGATTGGTGGGAGAAAAAAAAGATGACTGAGAGCCAGTGGACAATCAATAAATGTTGATTTTATTCACAGATCAAGTGAGGAGAGAGCAATAGAGGAGTAAAGAGGAGGAGTGAAAAATAAATCTATATTTATATATAACACATTTAATATATACAGATAGATTGTTTTTTTTACTGATTCTCCTCCTTTTCCCTAACTCTATTTATCTATTTTTTATTTGATCTGTGTTGTAAATGGCAGGAATGTGCCCCTATCAGAATACTGCAAAATATGTACATAAAATATGTATATTATGTATCTAGTTTGCAGTGCACTGATTTGACCATTTTTATTCTCTTTTGGATTGTCTGATTAGTTTATCTGACAAATTCTGACAAGCTGAACCAACATCTGGCTGAAATTTGAGTGCCACAAAAAAAAAAAGATATATGTTTGGAAGAAATGGCTCAACCGAAATGGATTTTCTTGGTGTGCACAAGTCTACTCTATAGCTAGCGTCTACTGGAAGGAGATTGAGGAGCTACTAATCTGAAGTTTCTGTTAGCTATCCCGAGCTAAGCCCTGCAGTTAAGTGCTAGCTCATTGTCTAAAAGTTTCAGTTAATCACTCCCTTCCAAAGTTTCGACCTAACAATAGGTAATTTTCAAGGAACTTGAGAAAGACTTATTGTTAGGTTATAAATGATGTTCAGCTTACTATGAGGATCTCAATAAATATGAAGTGCTTTTTCAGCTAATGATGTGTGCTGGCCAGTTTTCTTGGATTTTACTGTGTAAACTGTGCCAGACTCCCTGGTCACCCAGGACATGTACATGTCTCCCAGCGCTACCTCTTCCCCAAAAGGACTATTATCATGCACCTATCCCCTTCCAGACCATCCCTCCCTGCTTAGAGATTCCAGCCAGAGGCCCATAGGACTTCAGAGACCAGGGGGAAAGTCGCAGAGGCACTGCCCGTCTGACCAGGAACCTACAAATCTCCTGGAACTCAAGATCAGTTGCCTTGATCTGGTCAAAATTCAGCAATGTCGATCTCGATCCTAAGACCACCAAACAGAGTGCTGTTTGAAGGGGTGACAGAGGAAGTGGTGAGGCTTTGAATGATGCTCAGGACTAATGAAGAGCACAGTCATCAAAGGTAACCAGGACTTTCTACCCAGTGCTATGGAACTCTGTGTCAGGTCAAAGGATGCTTGCGGTCCAGACAAAACTTCCAGAGTATTCGGGCTAGGCACCTCTGATCTGAGCACTTTTTGGACTGAACATCTGTCTCGGGGGGAGAGCTATCCGGGGTGGCACTTGTTTGGGGATGCAGGCATGGGAACCTAGGTTTTCGGGGTGAATTGTTGTACAGGTGTGTTGCCATCAATAAAGTTAACTTATCAAGTACATAAAACAATAAATAGTTGCAGCGCACTCAGACTACAAAACAATATATAATACAAAGAAGGCTACTAAAATGCCTATCTGAGAATAAATATGGGGATTTAGTTCCACCATATGGCCATATGTTGTTAAGCCCACCACTACTTTCAAAGTACCCCAATATTGGTGGGTCCTACACTAAAAATGTGGGGGAACAAATTAAATAGTACTAGTGTTGAAAATTACAAGTGTTAAATTAAATCCTGATAAGAGCACAGTGAGTATACAAAAATGAGTGATGAAAGCAATTAAAAACAGTGTTAAAACTAAACAAATAATGTGTTAGTGCTAAAAAGAGTATACTCACTATAGCAGATGATATCTGTGCTGACTAGAGAAAATAATAAAAGTGACTAGACTACTGAGAAACTCCTCCTATATATACACACCTGTGGCCACCTCTAAAGGAGCCTCTGAAGTTGGGGGGCCTGGGCGGGGTGCTTAACCCCTAAGGAATCTGGTCTGGATTCCAAATATAATGTATACAGAAAAAGGATAGGGGGCACTCCCAAGACCTGCATTTTGTATACAAAATGCAGGTCTTGGGAGTGCCCCCTATCCTTTTTCTGTATAACTTATCAAGTACAGACACATAGGTGCCAGGTATTGCGAAATGCTTTTGTTCTCCTAGAGGCCGGGGACCCAGGTATAAAATTGTGATCAGCACTCTCGTAAAACACATTTGTTTCACCCTTACATTAAACCATGGCTAATGACTAGGGATGGGCTATAATCACTTGGGAGCTAATCACTAAGGGGAAAAGGCAGTCATTGGTGGCAACACTTGGGTCCCCTGCAAGTAGCCCGCCACATAAGCCATAACCTATTGATCTACGGCCTTCCGATACTCTCTTACTTTTCTGAAAATGAACAGGGTTTCTCACTCGTGTGAATTGTCTGGAATTAAAGTTATCTTGGAAATTGTAGTTACAACTAAAAAACAAAAACTAAAAACATGGCTGACTTGGGAGATTTAATTTTTTCACACTTAATTAAAAAATGCTGCGATTGTATTCAGTATAATTTAGAACCATTTAAAAATAATCATGGTTCTGATGGGTTATTTTGACCAACATTTTCAGGTTCAGTGTTAAAGAAACAAATCTATAAAATGTATCAATGAAGCAATAACTTTGTTGTATTTCCGCAAACAAAGTCCATCAGCCCTTAGTCCCTGTCTATAAACTGTATGGATTAGATTAGAAGTGTTTGCATTTCTTATATATAAATGAGTTAAATAAAAAATTGTATTAAGCTTTTTTTTTTTTTAAATAAAACCCATTCTTATTTGACTCAAATTCTCTGTCAACTTTTAAAGCGTAAACGATTCTTTAAGACGGACTCCTACAGCAAGTGATGAATCTCGACTGCTGGTTTTGCATTAGAGTTTCTCCCTGTGATGTTGACTGTCGACAGGAACCATATCATCGTTCTGTAGCCTTTTAAATGGGTGATAAAAAAAACGTGGTTGCCTAAAAGTCCTCTTAATTATAGAGCTGGGCATATTGTTTATATTAATACAGGGATTAAGGAGCTATACTAATTCTGTTTGACATTAATAGTGATAAATAACCGAAACATGTAATTCACCTTTTCTTAAGCGATGGAAAAAAATAAAAAATAAAGCATTTTAGCTACCTGGGTAGTTGGGGGGATTTGAAGGAAAAACAGGAAATATATTTCTGCGGTGTATAATTGTGTGCATTTTATAAAACCTTATAATATTCCTTTGTGTATAAATCTCAAAGCGAAACCTTTGCTCTGGTGAAAGAATAACATCTAATTTTAACCCTTTTGCTCGAAGATAAGAATAGAATGCATAGTGAGCACATCTACAAGCCACATGCCATTACGTCTCCAATTAATGGCTTACGGACTCCCCACATTTGGAACATTTAGGATGTAGAGCAAATTCAGCATTTTCAGGCTGGGTTCCTAGCTGCAAGCCTCTACCCACGGATGGACTACAATTCACACAATCCTTTTCCAATGTCATGATGGATCCACGAGTATAAGATTCTGCCCATTAAATGTCAGACAGCATTCTCTTTTATTTGGAGGTTCGTTTCGCTTTAGGAAATCCCATCACACTCAGCGTACTGATGGCTGACGTGGGAGGATTTTAATATGTTACTAGTCCCCAGTTTTGGCAATTTCTCTTTAAAGGTGAATGTTTCCATTGTATATATGTTTTCAGTTTCAATATATAACACAAGGTCATGCTCCTTGTTTTATCTGAGCAACAAAAGCTGAAAATAAAATAGTCAATTTCATGTAGCAGCAGGTTGTCCATGTTACAGTAGTGACCAGTCTACAATATTTAACTATTTATAGTCTTGTGGACGACCATGAAAACTGGCCCCACTTGTCGCATTTGCCAAATGTCATCATAGCATTACATGGCTATGCTGAAAAATGCATAATTATATTTTATCATTTTAGCATATGTGAATGATTGTTTGAAAACAAAGGAACACCAAATTCATCGGCAGACGTTCTGACTTAATTTTTTTCCTCTGCAGTTTTTAAATCCTGATTTCACTGTATATTTTGCTTCTCTCTTAACACAAGATAGGGATAATTTTGACAAATTGACATGATGTCATGGGGGGCCTGCCCATTAAAAGGCTTACCATGGCTTCCGAGCTAGGAGTGATGAAAATGTCCTATTAGCATGTATTATGAAAACATTTAATGCTGTGTAACTAGATTTTACATGTTTATATTTTGGTATACGACTAATAAGCCCCCACTGATACATCCTATTCTATCTGCAACACAGTGACAGGACATGGGAGGCTTTATACAGCAAAATATGAACAATGCGTGTTTAATAGACAAGTATTGATATTTTTATGATTTAACTAGTAAATGTTGCTATATTTGCAGTATTGCACACATATACATATTCAAAGAAAGTTCATGTTTCAAGGTGCCGGCCAGACATGCCGTCAGTCAACATGGTGTGTTTGACAACAGGCTGACATAACCTTTCAGTGGAGGGCCGGTCCCTTTTATCCCCCATTTTTCAGTCAGCCCCACTTATTATGGACATTATCGGTGCCGTGAATTAAGTCACTGGCATTGTCCCCCTCGGGGCCCGCCCCCCACTCCTGATTGCATAACTCCCAATGTCAGTCAGTTCACCATAGAGACATACAAACAACTGGGATAAACTGTTCCTTCTAAACCTATGTTCAGTTGCTGTAGGTCCACCTACCTGTGGGGTGTGACAAACACACTTTGAATATATGATGACTGAAATTGCAACTCCCAAAAATCCATGTTAAAGTCAATTACTAAATATAGTACCATATAAGATAACATTGTACCTTTTTTATATTCTATTTAATGCGTTGATGGTTAGGAATAGACACAAATACTTAGGGGACGGTAAACACAAATTTCAGGTTAAAATAACAGAGTTGGTAAATATTTCCAAGACCTGCTTTGGGCTGGCCTAAATTTTGCAAATCAGTTTTCAATTGACTATAATTTGGTGTTTAGTGAATACATTCTCCAGTGTATTCCAAAATCAAAACTAGCTAATGTCTTACTTAAAACAATCTGATTTAAACAGACAGAATATTCCGAATATAAACAGATACAATTAAATGGGTTCTACACAGCTACACAAAGAAATGCTAAATAATGGCTTACTGTTTCAACATTTTTTCCCTGGAATTAAACTAACCTTTTTCTGTGCTGTAATGCAGGGTTGTCCATTGGCTGCTGAAGGGCCAAAGTTTGGCTCTGGTGTTGTAATATGTAGCTGTTGAATTGCTCAGCTGTGATAAATTAAGAAACTTATTAATCTAATTATCGCACATTCATCATAAGATCTCTCATGTGACAAGAAAAGGCTATTCAACCTTCCCCCCCTTTACACAGAGGGCTCAACTTTCCACCAATTAAGATCATTCTAAAGTAATACTGAAATAGCAAGTGTTCATTAATTAGTCAGTGGAACAATGCCCTCTTCGGATGCACAAATACTTGGGGGAAAATTCCTTTGATAAGCATTTCAATACTATTCTAATTTTGATGAAGACTTAAATAAATCTATTCCTATATTGAGTCCTGAAATTATCTAATGCAGTTGGCTCAGTTATAGCCATTTTGTATGTTAACATTTTTTTTCCAGCTATATATATATATATGTGTGTGTATATATATATATATATAAACACGCTCAAAATATGTGTGTATCTAAAACTATCGTTTAAAACAATTATACATAGAATATAAAATACACACTAGATGGGAGATGTTTTAAGGCATACAGGTGCTATTCTGGGGTAAAAGTTTAGAGATATTCACTGCCTCCCCATATTTTTTTTTAATACAGCTTTTTAGACTAGTACGTTTTCCTTATTTTCACAGTTTGAAATCACTGAGAATTCTGACAAATTCAGAAATTGATTAAAAAAATGTTGCGTTTTTACCAAATCCATGTCAAAATGTAAATCTTAAAACGTATCTTTATTGCAGAGAAGCATCTACATTACAAATACTCATGTCAAAAATTATTTCAAAAACCCCACAAGTTAACCAAGTTTGCAGAAAATGATCACATGGACGATCTGCGTATATGATTGTCAAATAGTCACTGGAACATTTATTTTATTGTATTCTTCGTATATTCTTCTATTGGATGTGTTCCCTGGTTAAAATCCCTTAAGGGGTTTCAGCTTATATATTTCATTGCTCATTAGACTTATGACGACTTATCATTGTTATTATTTTTAATTACTAATAATATTTTATTTTCGCAAATTTGGCTTCAATGGAAATGTTAGCAACTCCAGGCTCGTCTAAACATTCATTCCTCCAAGTTTACCTTCCTCATTTTACATCGGAAACCTGTTTAACACAAGGATTACATTATATCTTTTTAATCATCGTGTATTTCCATTCATTTTCTTAAAATATTTATTCCAAGAAATAATGAACGGCTTTGCACATATTACAAAAGTCAAAGAATGTCACCAATTTAAATTACATAAGAAATATAAAGTACGAAAATTATTAAAAGATAACACTTACGTGTATCTGAAGTATGACCCATCTCTCAATTATAATGTGTTTCTAATACTTGATGCCAATTGGTTTTGCAATTCCTTGGGGAACTAGAAACATTAGTTCATTGTAACATTGTTTAATGAATGTTTTAGCTACAACCTAAATAGAGTTCATTTATATTTAAATTGCAGTTTCTACTGATTTGTATGCATGCTACCTGTGCATGGGTCCTAGCCGCTGTTTGCTTGCTATGAGACTAAATCTTGTACTTTTAGCTTATTTCCTTCCCTTCGCAATTTAGGTATTCTGCAAATTGATGTCCTATAAAACCTGGACGCTTTGGAAATAAAT